TGATCTTCAGAAATCATTCTAATATGCTGATTTATTATTAGAATTATCAACAGTTGTGCAGCCAAATATTTTTAAGTTACGCCTTCTTTCTTTGCGTGAATATTTGGGCGGCGTTATGCAAATCTTGCCACATAGTGAGGTAGATATGTGGGGGCGTGTTCGAACGAGCCGTTTTAGGTAGGTGTGGCTGACTCTTAACTTTTATAAAGAATATCTCTTTGGATTTGAGACTTTAGTCTTTGCAACTTTACAGATCTTCTTTATGCACCAAGAGCTTGTAACACTCCAAAGAGAAAGGAAAAAATGAAATTCCATCATGTGACCCCTTTAAAGAGAGCTTATGTGGAAATAGTTTAATGAATTGTCGGCATTTTATCTATTGTAAAAAATTTGTTAGAATTTACAATGTTTTCCTGTCAGTTGGCATTGAGAGTGACTGACATTTGATGGTCAAAAAAATTAATAAATATAAAACTAAATAACAAAAGAAAAAAATCCCTACTTTCTCTCTTTTCTATGTGCGTTCATAAATTGTATTAATTTGTAAGTGTAATATTTGGCACTTGGCATTAGAAGTTACATTACTAATAACAGTGGCATATGAGAAGTTTAATACCACACAAAATACCACTTTTTCGAAGCTGCTATATATAAAAAACACAAGGTGGCTGAATTTGCATGCTTAGATAGCTGAAGCTTAGGCATCCATTACTTTCTCTCAATTTAATTAGATTTTTAGCACCCTCTCTGAACTGTTAAGAGCCCCCTTAGCAAATCCTGGAGCCGCCACTGATGACGTACGACTCACGTTGGCAGGGGAATATCCATTCTGTCCACTTGCGTGGCAGACGCAAATGCACGTATCCGATTCCTATCAGATTTATTTCCAGTCATGAATGAGGTCTGAAATGGATCTGAGAATATTGGAATCAATGCGCTTTTTTCCTGTTTACACATGCGTGGGTCATATATGTCCCACAAATCAAAATTGGGTCACTTGAACCACACTGTGTAAATGCAGCCTAAGACTGTCGTTAATGTCATCACACACATGTGGTGATTCTGCTAATTAATCAATTGGAGATCTCCGAGATGCTGCTGTAACGAACATGACACCAGATGACTACTTCATTAATTTTTGTTCATTTTGCTTTATTTGATGTTTGATGTATAACTTGTTCCCTCTTACGTCATACTCCGGGTTTCCCTTATGCATTCATGCACATGCACACTCTTCAAAAATGTGCTGATTGTTTACATGCTAAATTGTATAGACTGAGATGGAAATGTACAGAATGTAAGCTTGCTTATTGTGCCTGAGAGCATGATCTACAGTATGTAAATCCACATGTCTTACTAACAAGAAACTATGCTGCTGACCACATGTTGAGAGCTGTAGATCCAACCACACAAGTTTACGATGCTGTTTGTGAATGTTAGTTTGAACACTGAATTGTTGAATTATGTTGGTATACAACGGAACTTGAGACCATGGCTGACAATGCTTTTGGGAAACGCACCCCAGACCGGTTCAGTCTGGCTTGTGAATGAATTGCTCAGACCGAGGCAGATGTTTCCAGTACATTTTTGTTAATGAATCAAACATTGCTATAAAACAATACTTTCTACTCTATGAGGCCTGTGAAGTGAGGAATCCAGTGTATAGTACATGTGTGTGCGGTGATTCTGGAATGCAGTGATTTATGAGCAGAAACAGTCTTTGATTAGAGCATATCAAATGGATTATGCACATCCTGAGAGCCAGAGTGTGTGTGTGTGTGTGTGTGTGTGTGAGTGAGTGTGTGTCCTGTACCATTAGCATAACCACTCTTCAGGTTGCAGGTCCGACACTGAGGGTTTTTCACGGGCTGTCCTGGTACGTGCTCCACTAGTTTGCAGTACATTTCTGGTCCTGTTTCTCCACACGTGGCATTGGTATTGATCTCTGCCATGGAGGCCAGGTTCAGCACAGCTGGAAAGAGACCTGCACACACACACACACACCATTAGCTGTTACCAAGACAGTTGATCGCTCCTACAGATGGGTCAACACCAACAGCATGTTTTCACATAGCTTTCCCATTCATCTCCCCAGATGATAAACCTGCTATTTTTGCTTATGGTGATGAAATAAAAAAAAATGTCTTTGATCAGTATACACAGATATATTTGACCATCAATGGAAAAAGATTCATTTTGAATGAATAGCATCCACCAGCAGTGGCTAACTAGAGTCTGATGATTCAGAGTATCTCATTGATTTAAATGGGTGTGATCTAGTTTTGCTGCAACACGTCGTTTGCATTCAATGTTGTTTGTGTGTGAACTCTGCATCCTCTCCCTGTCACCAGTCCTTATTCTAGAACCTCATCATTTACAAGTCAAGCACTGTTCTTATGTCAAAGGTACACTGGAAACATTCTTCATTTATTTTTTGGTTAAAAATTAATAAGAAAAAAATTGTGAAAATAGTATTCCTGTTTACACTGATTATTCAACTTGCTTGCTCAGATGACTGATTATAGAGAAGACTTCAGTTCAGTATCCTACTGACAGCCGAACTCTGAGTTAAATCAGTTTTTGCCAAAATGAATCATGGGAAAGTCTTATTAGAACAAACTTGTGGATGTTTAGAAACAAAAGGATCATTTCAGTAACGAGAGACTTTAAAGCTGCATGAAATCACATGCGACGTCTATTTCATCAAACACTTCCTTCATCAAAATAGCGCAGCAACAGTTGTATTATGAAAGCTGATCCTGCTTTGTGAGAGCTGCTTTGCTCGTCCTCATTTCTGTAATTAAAACTCTCTTAGAATCAACTTTCACAGCATTTCCAGCATTCAGATATAGATAATATGAAGCTCAAGTTCAAATATTTTTGAGCAAGAGTTTAAGTTTTGGTAGTTTATAGTGCATAATGGCTTAACTTAGAATAGCATACTAGTGTTCTACTATATGCAATTTAAAGATATGTTAAAAATTAGGCCTGTTTCACAATTTGATTCGTAAAAAAGTGTGGATTACAGCATTATCTTTATATTTACTCCTCTTGGATCAAAGGCAACAACTTACAATATATTTTTGCACGTTAAGCAGTGTCACCAGTGTTGAGCACTGAATCACTGTGAGAAGAAATCTGTTCAAAACAAAATGTTTGTTCATTGTGATCTGTGATTAGCGTATTTTCTGGAAAATAAGTTGCATATGACTAATAAGTCTCTCATTGTTGAGAGAGAAAAAAAAACACAGGTAAGTTGCATCAGTATATACTTCATATTTTATTATTGCATTCAGAATATATAATATAAAATACAGAGGGAAAAAAAGTATTTGGAACAGACATAAACACTATAAACATGTATTTTAGTTTCCCTCAATCCATAACAAATGCTTAAAAAATTATGGTATTCAGAACAGGAATGCAAAATATATGTACAAAACAAGCATAAATTACAGTGGCATTCAACATTATAAATGCCAAGCATGAAGGAAATTATTTAAAGCGAAACTGTGATTTGTTTGAAATGCGCTACACAAATAAACTTGCGGCACAAACCCAAGCTTTTGCGATTTACACATTTTGCATGCTTGACGTTAATTGCATTAGTTGCTTTGGAATATTAGTCGCTACATGTTTCATATGATACAAAAATGTGACATATTCAGGAAAACATGGCACAACAGGATCACTCTTTGCTCACTTTCCATATATAATCTATTCACAATTAAAAGTTGTATTTTTCATGCTGCTAAAAGAACCAACAGTCATACACACTGCAAAATGTTGTTACTGACAGTTTTATTAAAAATACAGCAGTGAATCTGCTTAATTAAAGTTTAGTGGCTGAGTCACTGACGAAATTGCGTTGACTGACATTAATCGTCATTAACGTCTCTAGGTTACGTATGTAACCATGGTTCCCCGAGGGAACGAGACGCTGCGTCGAGATCGCTTTGGGAACGCCCTTGCGTGACCGCGTTCTGAAGCACGTGTCAAATCCGTCCCGCCAGATATCGTGGGCAGGGAGAAACACAGCGTTTGTAATGCCGTTCGCTCGCCATAGACTTTCTCATTGTTTTTATATATGAGTGCTTGTGCGGACAGACAACAGTAAATAGACAGACACATACACAGAGCGCTACTGAAGAGCAGAAGCTGGTTTGCGCCCGGCCGGATGCGCTTTTATGCTTTCTGGTGCTTACGTCACCCTGCTCGTGTCGTCTCGCTGCTCCATTGGACGGATTTGACACGTGCTTCAGAACGCGGTCACGCAAGGGCGTTCCCAAAGCGATCTCGACGCAGCTCGAGTTCCTGAAGGGGAATCACTGAAATCACAATATCAAGGAAGATAATCAAAATTATGATTTTTGTCATAATCGTGCATCCCTAATAGAATAGCTATTCCAAATAGTACTTTTTTTTAAACAGCAGTTGGCATTTAGTGTACACTATGCAGTAAGTGGTACACTAGTATTTCAGCAACCTGGAATGGAAGGATGAGGGTTTTATACAAAGACATGAGTGTCTGAAGTATGTGGTTTAAATCTGGATGTCAGCTATATTAAACTAGGTTTTCTGTTGAGTGAAGTGTATTTATGCAGCAAAAAAAAAAAAACAGCGTGCATAGTTGGTCTGAATCAAAGAGCGCTTGATCTCACAAAATCAGTCTCAGCTGTTCAGACAGATGTTCCTTCTGAGTTCTCAGAGACATGCGAGCTGGACAAAAGCAAGGTTCTACTCACTCAAACTCTCCCTGTGCTCTCTACAGTGAATTCTCTGAATGCTAGAGCTAGTTCTGCTGTTTAGTTGCAGGGATAAAGTCTTTTCACACCGTCCTTCATGCAAACACATCGCAGCTTAGCAGCTGCCTCTGGAATGTCCACAATCAAATGGATATTATGCTCAATATGGCACACATTTGTAAAGCATAACAAGGACATTTTCCCAGGAAACATTAACAGCTTCCAGCTTGGATGTTTTGGAAACTGGAGCTTTAGACACCAATTCTTCATCTATTTGCAAGTGATGTACTGATGCTCTAAACCAGGGGTCTTCAAGGTTTTTCAGGGCAAGGACCCCTTTGGCGATAGAGACATGGTGCACATTTTAAAACCCCCTGATTCAAAATGTGTCAAGCACTGCTATTAAGCATATAGCCTTTGATATTAATAGAACCTAATCATATTATAATTAAGAAAAATTTATATTATGGTATATGTATATTATGTTAAGACTGTAGATCAGAACTATGCACATTATTGTTGTTGCACATGCGTCACTGTATATTGTGCACTGTATATTACTTTTTTTATTGTTAAAATAGATATTTATGCATCATAACAAACAACATGTTGAGATAAAAATCACAATTCATTAGTAGTTTGCTGTTGTTGTAAATTATGATAACCCCTTCTATGAAGCCATTTTTATAACACATTATAAGGGTATTCTAAAAGCTGCAGTCCGTAACGTTTTTTGGTTAAAAATGATCCGAAATCAATATTTGAGCAAGTACATAGCCAGCCACTGTTCAAAACTATCGCCTTACTTTAGCCCGATTCACAACGGTGAGCTTATAATAATGTTTTCTAATTTGAGTGGTACGGGTAGGTTTTCGCAGAAAATTCGAGCATGGCACTGCGTTATTACGTCACGTCTGTAAACATAAAGAAGTTGTCCCGGCTACTAGGCTATCGCATGTGAGGATCCTGCAGGTGGCGGATCGTTTATAGCCTTGGCGTTATGCAAATCGTCCCAGGTCGGGACGAAGGTATGTGGGGGCGTGTTAGAATGAGCCGTTTTAGGGGGGCGTGGCAGAGTCTTAACTTTGATAAAGAATATCTCTTTGGTTTTGAGACTTTAGTCTTTGCAACTTCAGGGATCTTATCTATGCACAATCAGCTTGTAACACTCCAAAGAGAAAGGAAAACTTGAAATCGCATCATATGACCCCTTTAAGGCATTATAATGAACGCATAGTGCATTGTAAAAAAAAAAAAATGTTGTTTCATTTCATAAATAGTCATAACAACAAATATAATACATTATAAAACGTATTTGTGGTTATAACTTTTATGAGTATGATTATTTATAACACAATGAACACCATGTTAAATCGACTTAATTTAAAATGAATTATAAATCTCATATCTTCACATTATTTCTTATTAAGATCTGTACAGTATCTTACTATCTTACTGATATTACAATAAATATAGTCAAAATCAAATGTGCCATATTACACATTCATCTGATCAGATATCTGACCTTGGCTGTTTAAGAAAGAAATATTATTTTTATTTTTATTGTTGTTGTTGTTATTATTTATAAGTGGTATTTGTCTGCTTTAAGTAAAGTAACAAGTTATCAATGGCAAGATATGAGACTTATAATACATTATAACTATGGGAAATATAATCCATTGTAAGTTAAGTGGATGCATTGTGTTCATTGTGTATTATAAATCATCATTCTCTTAAAAGCATTAACCACAAATAAGTAAATATTATCATGCATTAAAACTGTTGTTATGATTACTCATGAAATGATACAACATATTATAAGTTTTTTTTTATAATACATTATGCATTCATTATAATGCCTTGCGAATACTCTTATAATGTTTTATAAATACGGGCTTCATAGAAAGTGTTACCTAAATTATTTTAATAGATTTACAGAGTCCTCCATTTTAATTTTACCAGTCAGATGGGCATTTGCATCCACCTACCAAACAAGTTTATTAAAAATTCACATTTTAATTTTACAGTCAGAACATTTATTTGAACTTCAGCACTAGAACATTTTCTAGTAATCTGCATTTACAGTACATTGTGCGTATCTATTTTGACAAGCCATGTTTTTGTCCTGTGCTAGTATCACTATGTCAATCTTAGCTTCAGAGTGAATCATGCATTTACAGATTGTAGATGTCATTTCAAAACTTTCCAGCATGTAATGTGTTATTTTTTATTTTTTGGA